TGTCACACTTGAATATTTGAAGGCAAGGTATGGTTCTTACTGCTGGTTAAATTTCAGGAAGGCAGTATGAATGACATTTTCTTACTGCTGGTTTGATAAACTTTCAGAGTAATACTTTGAACTGCAGTGAAATTTTTAAATAGTGGTAGGAACATTTTGCAGTGGCTTACCTGAATTCAGTGTCAATTTAAGTGCTTGTAAAGAGCATTTTTCTGTGGTTTAGTGAGTTAAAACTTTGATTGTGCTTTTTGGAAAACTGTGCATCTTAGCATGGAACTTTTAAATACTTGAGATAAGTCTAAGATACATTATAGTCTTGCTTTTGAAATCCAATAATGGAGAAATAAGGTCTTAACTAGTTTGTCATTCTCAAGACTTCTAGTTCATAAACAGTCTTATGATCTTAAATACTTTCCAAGGGTGTATTTTTGAGGCCGCACAACCAGTGCATTGCAGTTGCCATGGTATAACAACTTCTTCACACTTGTGTTCAGAGCAGTTGAGACTAATGCTCTGATAGTTCAGCAAAGACTAGAAAGTCAGGTGGGTAAAAACACCTGCCTGTATTGCTTTCTGTCCTCTGTCTTTTCTTTCCCAGCTTCTGGATAAACAACTGAGTAGCAAAATGAGGGTCATGTAGTCCATCAAAAAGCATAGATGGTTCTTTTGATGGGTGGTACTGAATTTTGAAGGCCGACAGCTCTAGCAGGTTTTGTTAAGAGAATGAGAACAGGAGTTGTTTTACTAGACAGTCCGCAAGCTGAAATGAAGTGCCCAGCTGTAATGCTGGTGCTCTGCTCTCAATAAGATTGGGAAGTCTATGTGATAAAACTGATACATCAGTGGAAACATTTCTGTTTGACACAAACAGCAGCAGGTGCTCCGTTTCCAAGTGGTACATGCAAATGCTTGTACTCCCAAGCATCACTGAAACAGTTTCCCTTTGAAGATGTATCTGTGTGCTATTTTGGCACGTTGTTCCCATTACATGGCCTTTAATAACTTTCAATACTCTGTTAAAAGATATTCAGAGAGATCTGACTTAAATCTAAGTTCTGGTAGATGCTCTGCATGTTTTTGCAGAGTCCTTGTATCGGTGTTGTTCTTAGAGGATTAATGGATCTTCCAATTTAGTTTGAACTTCTTCCATTCACTTTCCACAAATATGTCTCAAAGGAGAAGAAAAAAGGAAGCTTTTTGACTGTATTGCCCTTTTGAAGAATAAACAATACTCTAGTGTGAAACTGAAGTTTAAGGTGAGGCTTTGAAAATGGAAATCCAGTATAAGCTATCCTTCCCAGTCATCTTCCTGACATCTGTCTTCACCGCTGAAGCAAAACAGCTTACCCAGTTCAAGTGTCTGTGCTCATGCCTGGAAGGGAGCAGAAGAGTTGAGAATCTCAGGTAATCATTTGAGGAATTTGTTGAATCACTTAGGGTCCAGCACATTCCCACCAACCAAGTTGTCCTTGTGCTTGAAAATGGAACCTGCCTAAACACAGACACATTAGGGTTGTCTTGTCTTTGAGCACTTCTGGCTGCTTGCTGGAATGGTGCTTATTTGTTTCATATTTGTACAGAGGGTCAGTATTGTTACTAACAGGTACAAATCTTCAGGTAGACTGAAGAGGTGGTGCAGAGATTTAGAAATAAATTCTTATGCTAAATGAGTTAAAAACATTGGCAATAGCTTGACAACGAGTAATATTTTTTGATCCAAGGTGTCTGTTGGGTGATTCAGTGTATGCTATGGTTGTCTCAGCTGTGTAAGTAAGGTATATTTTTAGGGTAAGTATGGTGTTCTTATCTTTATGTAGGCTACAGAGAGGTGGCCTTTGATTAGCCATGAGGATGGTGGCATTTTTGGTCATCAACAAGGGTAAAATCCTGCTGATTAAATTGTTTGAACAGTTGGGTGCTTGACAGTAACTTTAGGTCTTCAAGACACGTTTGCCTGCCTTCTTATGAATTTGCTGTCAGATCACATAGCAGTAAAAATTTAAGCATTAAATCTTGTTTTTCACTTTGCTGGGTTTAAGTAGTAGAGTCTGGACAATAAATCTTAAAGAACCCCATAGAGGGTATGTTAAATTACTTCTCTCTTTTTGCCTTTTTCCTTGCATTTTTCTGGAGTACTGTATGGGGTAGAATAACAAATGCACCACAACCTGCAGTAGATGGTCTGTTATGTGTTTGCAGGGTAAGCTGACACAAAGCAATCTGTGTCTGGATGAATGCAATATTATTTTTTTACTTATCACAAGTTGCTAAAAAACCTCTGTACCATTAGCTTTGTCCTTTGTCTCTGAATGCCTACCACAGTGCTCAGCTCTCTGTACCTCACTTACTTGCCTGGTCCAAAGATAAAAGATCTGACCACTCATCACCCCCCAACATCTGTTGGTGGAACTTGCTAATGCATGCTTTTGTCTTATCTATTTTATTTAACAAATTTCAATGAATAAGTATCTTTGAGACCTCAGTCCTTTTACCAGAATTAGCTGAAATTGTCCTACTATTTGTGTAGTATTGCTAGTGAAATTTATTCAGTAAATTGTCTCTATTTTTCCTTAGAGAACCAAACTTTCTAAGGTAATTTTACTAGATTTAATTGTTTCAAATATATCCTTGCAGAGTAAAATCACTTGTCTGTATAAGCAACTATTGTATGTTTTAAAAAATGTGCTTTGTATTTGGTATCATACATGGATTCACTGCTTTATATATACTGCTTAATCTAAAAATATTTTATTTTAGGGAGCAAGTAATATTTTAGAATTTACATATCAAAAGGATTTATTTTTCAGTAAATTTTTGTATATTGTTTTCTTTTTTGGAGATGAATGCTCTAGTTGTATGTGGGTCTTGTAGCCGCATGTGTACTTAGGTTTCTCCTGTATTAGATTACAGAACTGTACTGGACATGTCCAGAAATCCGTGATAGACAGGTGCAAATTGCAAGTTAGCACTAAATTACATCACTGATTGTGCCTAGTCAGTGATATGAAATGTTCCAGGCTACGGAAAATATATTCAGCCGAGAGATTTTCTGAAACTCAAAGACAAGTTTAATGAAAAACATTGAAAATGTTAGTAAGAAATCAGCATAATTTTCTGTTTGAGTAGTTGTATTTGTACGTTTCCTAGTGGGACAGGCACACTGGTGTGAGAAATACTGTACAAACATATGTTGAGGAATTATTTGCTTGGTTTATGATCTTCCAAGGAAAAATAGAACAAAGGCTGAGACAACATAAAAGTTCTGTACAGGGAGTTCTTCCTTGTAGTCTTTACAACAGCTTGGACCCCATTATTATTATTGGACCCTATTTGGAGCTAGGTCTTTTGGTCACTTCTGTAATTGCATATTAAGCTTACTTTTGGAAAAAAATATCTACAACTTCAAGTGTAAGGTTTTATTTTTTGTTTCACCATGAAAAATATTAAAAAATAAGTGTAACTTATCAGTTTGAAATCTTAGCACATCACTTGTACAGATCATGGTGATTGAGGTTACTCATCTCTAGTCTGTCTTTGAGTTCATTTAGGTTGTTCTGTAGATAGATGTATATCAGCAGTTCTGCCTTTTTGCCTTTCCATGTAATTTTTTGTTCCTTCATTTCCTTCAGAATTCTGTTCAATATGCAGCATTATTTTTTCTATCCTGTTTCCTAACATGGTTTGATTTCTTATCTTTTGAACTTGCACATTTTCAGGCTGTTCTGTGTCCATGAGGTAGTGTTGTTCCAGATGCGTACATAAAAAAATGGGTGATTGTGTTTTCCACCAGGCTGAGTTTTATCTGAAGTTCTCAAAGACATGTGGTGACTCTTGGTGGCATCAAGGACTTCACTGTCTTCAGTGTAAGAAAGGAGTGTGGTATACAGAGAAAGGTAATAGGAGTTTCTAATGTGCACCTCCCACAAAAAAAAAAAAAAATCTTATTTCTGTAAAAAATAAATGTCCTGAAGTGTCAAAATTCAGGTCTGATTGTGAAGGTGATCCTCTAATCCTAGGATTATCAAGTTACATTAATGAAGGCCTTAGGAAGGGGCAGAGGATGGTCAAAGTACAGGAAAGGCACGATATGAGGCTGGGTGCTATGTGGAGTCATGCTTTGCAGACTGTGTGATGCGAATGAGAACATCCCTCCAACTTCTAGCTGTTAGAGGAGAAGTTCACCATTTTGTGGGAGACTTCCTGGATTGTAACTACTGCAGTAGCTGAATATGTATGAAACATATGTGTCCCATGTAGGTAAAAATACAGTTGATGTGGGAGTATCTCAGTCTTGTACATGGATAACTTGATGACTCTTGTGAACTTTTATCATCAAATTTGAAGTACTGCTTGCTGGCTTTCTCTGAAATGCCTTTATGTATAACATCTTACCTCAGTGATTTTCTGCTTCGCCTACAGAAAATACAGGGTAGAATGAAGGTAGCATGTGGCATCCTAGGGCTGCAGTAAAGATGTAAAAATTTTTACATCTCTTACCTTTGAAAGATGGAAATACCTCGTGGGTAAAAGTAGATATATGAACCAGAAACTGCGAGTATTTGTTTCAAGTATAGTGTTCTAGGAGGCCATGAGGAGCACTTTCTTGTGTCTGCGTAATCTTATTCTAAATCCTTCCTATTGTGAGGAATGATTGAGGAACATTGGAAATGAATAATATGGGCGTGTTTTTAACCACACTCTGATCTTGCTTTTCATAGTTTTTTCGCTACCAATTCCTATCCTTCCTTTGTTCCTTCTTCAAGAAAAATCAGTTGGTGCATATACTTGGAAAATGCATTTTGCATGAAAGACACGCAATTTCTAAAAGTAATGAAAAGAGTTAAAATGGAAATGGTCAATTAATACTTTATTTTCACTTCCATTTAAAAATTATTTTCTTCTAACTTGCTTAAAATACACTTATTTTTTTCAGAGACGTGGAGCAATTTCCTATGACAGCTCCGATCAGACTGCGTTGTACATTCGTATGCTAGGTAAGCACACTATTTTCTTTATTTCAAGTTCCACCATTTATGTTTGGTTTAAATATTAACTTTTTTATATCTCTCTCCAATTAATAAACTTAGCATTCTTTTTCTCCTGGATAATATTTTGGGTAGAATCTCTACAAGAGTTTCAGTTCTTACATGTTGACTTGGGTTTTTTGATTGTTTGCTTTTTTTCCTTTTTTTCTGAGTTAAACATGGTGTAGGATGTTTTACTCCTATATTGAAGAAAAAGGAAAGGTCTTATAATTAACTCAATGTGTTTGGTAGAAGTCAAGTTTTCTAAGTGACTCATGATTGATCTTTCTGTAATGGAATTTACCACCTCTGCATGGTATCTTTCTAGTTTAAACTGTATCTCAGAGAACACTTGTTGGAGAGTTACCACACGTGCTCTTACAAACTTCAATACTAAGGCTATGAAATGCGCAAGGTGTTCTGGAAGTAATGATGATTTGATTTTAAACAATATTTTTCTCGTTAATCCTAGAAGGTGACTTGAGAAAGGAAAAGGTGCTTGACAGGGCCAAATAGTTCAATTTACCGAGGAGTGCTTCCAGAGTAGCAAGGAGATAAAGGGTAAAGCCAAGTTCAAAGAAAAGAGTGGTTTTGAGAGGGGAAAGCATGCAGGGGAGGCCCTCTGTGATAGTGAGTGCACAGAAGGAGTTGAGGTCATTTGTTGAGAGGAGAAAGATGCAAAGCTCTTGCAGATCTAGCTGCCAGATTCTTTATTTCCCACACTCTTCTGGAGGCTACTGGTGGTGCAGATGGCATGGGAACTGTGTATGTGCTCTAAGTCTGTTTCACTGCTGTGTGATGCCACTTAATTTAAGCCACCTTGAGCAATGAATTTGTGTTGAAATGGACTATGAATGCTTGCATGATGTCTTGAACAGCTCAATGAACACCAACAGCTACTTGTTACAAGTTCTTAACCATCTCCAACTAAATCAGCCAGAACATGTCTTTTTATGCCCTGAGTCTTTTCAGTTTAGTTGTATGTTTTACATGTTAAATTCCTCAGAGATTTATAACTGCATTGTCTATGAATTTAAAATTGTAAGCTATATGCATGTGTGTATATGAATTTATAGTCCTAACCTACGTATGTAGGAATATATGGTCATATATACATATAAATCCAGTTTGGACTTAGCAGCTTCACATTTTTTTCCAGTTATTTTGATTTTTTTACATCTGTGTAGTTGTTAATAATGTAGCACTGATTGTCTACTTGAAGGGGTTTTGATCAGAGAATTTAATTACTTTGGGGATTTGTTAAGATGAGAACAGAAGATGATACTGGCTTCTAAATGTTTATTGGAAAAGCTGCTGGGCTTTTTTTTTTGATGTTGTAAATAGGTTTATTTTGTTTTCAAAATTTAAAATGAAGTAGTTAGGCCCATCATTTCTGCAGAAGGATTTGTAATAACGCTCAAGTAATTCTAGAGAGAAGGAAAGCATGGCTTCCTCTAGTTTTTGATATATACATCTGACTGGAGAGAAAAATTTAATTTTTCTTGGAAAACTTCCACTATTCTTATAGGTAGAACTGGAAAATATTCAGAACGTCATGTTAAGTAAATTAATTTTTCACTTGTATTCTCATCAACATTAATTATTACATAATGAGATTGATGTTTGTTATGAATAGTATAATTCTTGGTGGCATAACTCATTCATGCTGTTCTGCTGTTCAGAAGCAGTAAATCTTCTAAAGGATTGACTTCCAACTTAGGTGGAGGAGGGTCCCAACAAGCAAACAAAAAATTGCTCATGGCATGTTTGAATCATTATGTGGTAAATTTGTGTTATTTTCTCACTTAACAGGTATCACTTGGTTTGCACAAATGTTATGTGTACTATACTGAATAAGTTAGCAACTATTTACATATTTATTATATTTGTACTTGTAAATTGACTGTAAAAAAGACCAGCCTGAAAGCTGAACAGTTGGACTTATCAGTATGTAGAAACATTCATATCCGAGTAGATTGAAGGGTTAATATGTTCCATTAGAATTTTTTGCAAGAAATGTGAAGCATTGCTTGACCTACAGTATTGTAGAGTTTTGTTTTTGTTCTGTTTATCTTAGTACATTTGAGCAGAATAAGCTGTAAGGAAACCTCAGCTGTAACTTAATGGGAAGTTAGGCACAGTTATGAGAAGATTTGCCTTTTACTTGGTTGGTTTTATTCCATACAGACTCTATCTACTAATAAAATGCACCTTGATAAGGTGTTTATCTTAGCAGACCAAAAATGTAAGGCTGAGAGTATCTACAATAACTCCCTCTGCCTTTGTTTAGTTGTGCTGGCTATGAAGTTGCTTCATTCAATGTTTTCAGGCTGTTCCAATGGTAATACGATGGAAATTAATTTACACCAAGTAAATAGGAATTTTTGTGCTATGGCAGTGTGTCCAGGTTAAATTTAAAAGATCCTGTTTTAGGATATGCAAAAATAAAAAGCTAACTCCTAACTGCCTTCATCAGTGTGTCGATATAAACAAACAGCGTTGACTGTAATGACTCATCTGTCATACCTCATTCCCAAAATATACACTAAGCCACTCCCGAGTGGCTTATTTAGTATTTTAAAATATAGATACAGATGCAGCATTGTAGAATTTTTCTTTTAAGACCTTGGAAAGGCTAAAACATCTGCATCGCCTCAACCACTTTTCTCAGCAACTGTGAGGAATTCTCAAAATATCTTGTAAGTGCTTCTGTGTAATCTTGATACCTGATTTTTCTGTTGCTTTTCTGGTTTCTTTTTCTTGTTGCTTTATATTGACTGAAAGTTTTTCTACTGTGCATGGGGTAGAAAGTGTGGGGCACTGGCTGCTTATATTGGTAAGCATGAACCTCTCAGCTACAATTGGAGCATTTATCTTTCTTTAGTGGTCTTGATCACTTCAAATAAGAAACATTGGAGAAAAGCTACTGTATAATGTGCATGCTCTTCTCCGGTAGTGTTTTTTATGTTGTATTCTGTTTTCTTTAATTCTGGCACATTCAGCTGACCTGTCGTCTGTTTCTCCAACAAATCTAATAGGAATTTTAATCTGTGAAGTTAGTAATTCTGTCTGAAAATCCTGCTCTTCACAACCTCATGGCTTTGACTTGAGTCCTTTACCTTGAGGTGGCTGTCACAATTTCTGCTCCCAGCTGTCCTCCATGGTCTCTGAGGTTTCTGCCCCTGCTCCGGATGGCCTCAGCTCCCCAAGCAGCTGCTGCATTGTTGCTGTGCCACACTGCAGTGTTATGGTAGCACCAAGTATGTGCTGGGTAACCCTAACGTCCAGGGATGTCAGCTGTGGCATTTCAGCTGCCTCGTAAGTATCAGAGCTGTCCTTGTGGTGTGAGCAGGAATCTGAGAGAGGGGCAGGAATTAAACAATCTATTTCAAGGTAAGTTTTGTTGCAGCCCTAATTACTTTTCAGTTTTCAGTCATAGCTGCAAATCTCCCTCTTACATTCCTTCTTCGAGGAAGAAGGAATGTAAATCAAAAAATTATTTATTTACTCTTCAATTAAATTTCTGCCAGTATGATCTTTGTCTTAAAAATGCAAGTGATCCTGATCATGCAGGACAATTCTGAAAAAAAAAGTTAGCTAAATACTCAGCCATCAGATATTGTATCATTTTTGTGCTCAGAATAAAGTTTGGAAAGGAAGGTTTCACATATTTAAAATCATTCTCTTGATTCTTTGGAATCAGCAAAACTCTCAAAGAGGGAAAAAAATTGATCCTGGAAGTCCGGTATCATTAAGATGCTGAACTTGAATGTGTTCTGTAGCTGTAACACGGGAATCTTTCCAGTGTGGCTGGAAGTGGCTTAAGAAGAGACACTTCAGATAAAAGCTGTCATTCAGCTTGCTGCCACTTCTGTACCCTCCCCTGTAAGCAGACTGTGGGATCTGATGGCTTAAAAAGATTGCGCAAGCATTTCAATATGTTTATATGGGTCTAAATAAAAAAAAACGATTCATAAGTTCTTTTGTTTTATGTGTTGAATTTTAATTTTCTTTCAGCTACCATAATAATGGTTGGCTCTGAGGTTGGATTTCTGTTGCTGTTTGAAGGAATTATGTAACAGTGTCCTTTTGTTTGATAAAAGTAATCACAAATCTGAGCTATCTTCTGCTTTTTTGTAAAGTTCCCAGTGAAGATAAATATGTCTTTTCCTTAAAGTTAAATTCTGCATGACTTCACAGTCACAGGGTTGCAAAACACTTGTGCAGGATTTCCCAAGCAAATTGACGTGAACATGTTATGTTGTGTGAAGGTATAATGAAGTGAGTGCATTTGGGATCCATTAATCTTCTGCAAGTTGCATTAAGCAAAGAGTGAATGCATAATGATGATCCAGTGTTTCTGGATGTTTTGGAACTAACTATACATATGCACTAGAGATTAGTTTCATTGTACTAATAGCACATTATTTCATAATGTGCAGCCAGTTATCCCTTTTTCTGCTTCTGTTTATTTAGAAACTTCAGATGGATGAATGGTATCATCAAATTCCACTTGTACCAATATTTTTCAAGTACATTTATTGTCTGAAATATTGAAAAATGCATGTCCTGTACCATGATAATGGAGACGTCTCTTTTGCCTTTGTTTTGACACAAGAGAATTTTCTGCTTCGTTTGCTGTAATGAATTCCAGTCTTGTAGAAGGGGTATATTTTTCCAGAATAAGTCCAGTTGTATTCTATCAAAAATAATCAATACTGAGATACTGTTGTTAATGCTTCTTCTACCATGATTAGGGAGAAAGAATTTTGTTCAATAACTAGTTAATGAAAATATTTAGCTTTCCTTGCTGAGAATTTCACATTTTATATGTATGCAAGTAAATACACTGATTTTAGCTTTATCTTATTACATTTGTCTTTTCCTTAGTTTGCCATGTGCCTTTTTAGTATACAATTCCTTCTTTGGCTAAATATTCCTGTAATACATATTCTAATGATTCCTGTTTGAAGTCATGTAGTCAGTTGCACTACTTCATTTTACTTAGAGACAGTTTTTCTTGTTTTCTTCCCTAAAGTTCTCAACATTGCAGGCATTTCAAGGGTAGCAGGGATACTATTATTCAGTCTATGCAGTTAGTCAAGGTAGTAAATGAAAAAGAATAAAGCAGAAAGAAACTTTCTGGACATCATTTATCAGATGCATCTGCTCATTTTGTTATTTGCAGAATTCCATGTTGGTCTTCAGGTATTTTTCTGTGCACTTTTCCTGTTCCTGACACTTAAAACAAATTTTCTGCAACAACCTAGTGATACACAGTCTGAAACTATTTGCTAATTGGTACTGTGGTTTGTAAATTTGAAAAGTAAAAAGCTGCATTTTAAAGTAAGAATAAATCACAAAAGCTGTATCACCTTTTCTGTAAAAAATTAGCTCCACTAAAAATCCTCTTTTATTTTCTTTTAATTTAGCTGGTGAACTCATTCACACAGCTGTAGCTATGCCTGATTACCCAGATTAATATGAGTGAAAGGTAATGAAAGTCAAATTTTCCTCTGTGCACACTGTTATTTTCATATACAGCTACTAATGCATTTGCCCGCTTTCTTCCAAAGTTTCCTCTCTTTTTCATTTTTATTAATTCATTTTGTAAATAAAATTCACCAATTGCTTGTGCCTAACAGAAGAGTTCTACAATTTGCTGCCTCTGTATTACCTGGAAGGAGACAAGTCTCTTGCACTCTGCTCAAATGAAAGCTTGAAGCCTTTATAAGTAATATATAGTAAGTGGCCTGAAAAGTAATACTTGCATATAGTAATTGGGTTGCTTTCCCTTGCAGCTCAGTTAAGGTTTTCAGTTAAAAAAAAAAAGCCAACAAAAAAAAAAGGGATTAATAACTGAAAGGCACATGTTTTTACTATGTTTAGGGAAGCCCTGGGCCTATGTACCCTTTTGTGGTCCTTCCAGCATGCCTCACAAGATAACATTCATATGAAGTGCATCACTGTAGATGTGTCAGTGTTTATAGATATGTATCTCTAGAAAGATACCTGTTAAGTATTTAAAAACATATTACTCAAGTGTGAGTCAGTACCTTGAGCTATTTTCTGATAAGTTGACTGCTTCAGCATTACACATTGCAGGTTAGAAAAGAAAAAAATGCTCTCAAGATACCTGTGACTTGATGAAAAATAAGTAGCTATATTTTTATTTAGTTATTATAAACGCAACCATAGTGCTTTTTGTTAATTAGTTATTTTGGTTTCATATGAGAAGTGCTGTGTGTGAAGTGAGGCGAATACGACACTTGACGGATTTTTGTAATTAGAAACTACATTGCACATCTTAAATTTCTCTTTGTCAGGGTTTGAGGAGGGAAACAGTATTACACTTGATTCTCAGAGATTTCTCCAAATTTATAATTGCAAAAGGATTTTAAGTGAAAGTTTTTAATGCAGGTGAACTGCTTATATTAATACATACAACTATCTAACGAAAGAATACTGATCAGCTTTCAGTTGGTAAAATGCATAAATAGAAATCAAGTAGCATGCTAAAAGATTCAGGTTGAAGCTAATTACAGTGCAAAATAGTTTGATCAAATTTTAATACTGAATTTTGGTATTTTAATAGGCTCTTGTGTAATATTCAAACAGCTGAGCACAAGTAAGTAAATGCTAGTGGGAAAATACTATATAATATAAAACCATATTGTAACTAGCTTATTTGCTAAAAGCTACCATTCCTAGAAGTTGAATCTTTTTTGTATTCTACAAAATGTTATTGTTGTATGTGTGTTACTGAGGAACAAATGAACTTTAAATGTTCTTGTTTTCTGTCATATTAAGGTGCATTTTTACCATACTGGTGTAGCAAGCTCTTCCTAATTTCATCTGAATGCTTATCACATGCTTCTGGCAACGTATGCTTAGGCAGGAGAGATTTTGGCAAGAAAGCATGTGATTGCATGTTTAACAAGTCTTCAAACTTTGTTTTGAATTTCACCTTTAAAACAAAAAGCATTAAAGTAGGCCTATTGTTTGAATTACTCTCCTCCATTAAGTACATGAATCTTTAACCCTCCAGGCTATGTTCATTTGCATTTTATCTCTGCCACTCTTCCACACTTTTATTTCACTCTTGACCCTGTTTCTAGGAGATGTGCGAGTAAGAAGTCGGGCAGGATTTGAAACAGAGAGAAGAGGTTCTCATCCATACATTGATTTCCGTATTTTTCACTGTAAGTATTTAAAAGCAGATAAATGACAAATAAACAAAGGCTTCCATCAATTTTTACTACTGAGCCTCTAAAGTTAGCAGCTCTTATACAAGACTATTTTTTTATACTTCTTAGGAAAAGCTTTCATTCTAGCTCATTGCCAAAAATAGAAGAGGAAAATCTTCACTGCTAAATATTAAAAAAAAAAATTATAATTTTAAACTCATTGAATTTAGACCTGAATCCATATGGAAATGAAGACATATCTTCTAAACAGCTACTGATGTGTGTGCTGTGTGCTTACTTGTCAGACACAATCAGTTGAGGAAAATACTTTTCTGTTTTTATAAAGCATTAAAAAGGCTCTGTTCAGGATGACACTTGAACAGAATTACAGTATTATCAATATTCTTGACCTAATAATAATGAATTAACATTTACATCTACTCAAGTGAGTAGCTAGGACTTAAATTTTTGGACAGAGACAGATCTTAAATAAAAATTAAAGTTTTAGGAGACAGTGGCAGCCTAATTTTTTTTGATTATGTGTTTCAGGAATATTTTTTTTTTCCCAGAATTGTTACAAGAAGAATATTTTTGTAGAGAAAAAAGTAAAATTATCCATCTATATTATTACAACTAAATTTATCAGTAGTTGTGGTAATATAAAGTTTTGACACCATCAAACCAATATGCAGCAAAAGTGCAGTGCAGGGGATCTGAGTCTTAAGTTAATTATGCCAATAATTAAGGTATTAAGTGTCATAAAGGATTTATACCAGCATTGTATCAGCACAATTCCAAGTATTCTGAACGCAATGGAGAGATTTAGTAACGCTAATTTCATGGTAGTAAGTGTGGTTGTTATAATTACCTTATGAATAAAAATGAGTGGCAGAAACTGGTCTTACACTCTGATCTTAACTGAAGTTATTATTTTTAAAAGTAGATAATTTCTAAAACTCTTAAACTCTTAGTTTCATTCAAAAGTTTCATAAAAATAGGTGAGAAAACAAAGTTTGAAGAGTGTGCTATGTAGATTTTTTTCAATAAAGAGGATAAGAGTTTCATCTCAAGTCCTGATTTGCTATAAGTTATTTGCAGAAATAGCATGCAATTTATGAAGGATATAATTGTCTTTTTGTGTATAATATATGTGGCATTTCATGCTGATATAGGAAAATACTAACAGAACTATTCAAATAACTGCCTGTTAAAAGGCAGTCAATATATGATAATATTGCCCTTGTCTGATTAACTCTTTTCTATGGTGCTCGTCACACACTGGTTCTTTCCATCCTGATGACTGTGCATCAGGCGGATCATGACCAGTCAGGAAAAGGACTTTCACACCCTTTCTCCTTGCCCCTACTTATTGAGACACAGCCACCAGCTTTTAGCAACTTCACCCGTGGTGTCTAATGACAGCAAAAAATATTGCTAGGAGGCCCAAAGAATTATTTGGCTTTAACTTCCCTCTCAAGTCAGTTGCTATGTTAGTTTTCAGAGTTGTCAGATTTTTTGCACTTAAGGACTGTAGCTTGTTGAACAGATAGTCTTTGACTTCCGGGCTCCTGCCACATTGCGGAGTTTCTTTCAAAGTCAGAAATTCAGCACAATCTCTCACCATATCAGTAGGTTATCTAGTAATTTACATAAATGTGGGATTCTTATTTATCTATAAAATGTTTTCATTCTCTCTGTTATGCTAACTGATGAGTGTTTTCTTAATTTTTTAAATCAAAGAGATTTAATAATGCATGATGTGACTGCCAGTAGAGAAAAGTTGCAGGAATCAGACTTGACCTAATTTTTAGGATATTTTCCCTGCCCACTCCTCTGCCCTCTCCTGGTTACTTCAGAAGGAGTTGATTTTACCACATAGTGGTAAATGACTGAAAAATACTCACCCATTCGAGCAATAACATGTGAGAGGAGTCAGTGAGCTCTTCTTTCGTTGGGGCAAATACTGAACTGGAAAGGGTCTCTTCTACAGCTGAAGCAGACTAAACCATCTGAATGTTGCCTTTTTTTTTCCTCCCTACCACACCTGTATCCTGAACATCAGTTAATGCATGGACATGCTTCCTCCATTGTGTTTGTGTAGTTTCACTGTAGCTTTCTTGTACTAGCCACTAGCTATATTCTGTGGTTCTAAATATTTTGCAATGATCATTGCTTACGTGTTTTGCATAGGACTTATGTAGTGGCTGTCAGTCACAGTGCTGAAGCATTAATGTTATTCCGTGTTTTGCTTGGCTAACTTTGGTTGTTCAGCATTTTCTTTTCCTGTCAATGATGTTTTGAGAAGAAGTTGAATGTCTTTCAGGAGGAGTAGCTAATAATATGCTGACCAATCTCTTTTCTAATATTTATTGATAGGCTCTTAACCCAGTATTTTATTGATAATTTGGAAGAGTAGTGAATTTTAAATGCACTACTTTGCTTCATAACATTATTTGAACTTAAAACTTCAACCAGTGTTGCCAAAGTAAAGTTTGTCAGTGCTTATTTCTCAAGACAAGTATCTTCTTAGGCATTATAAGCTCAGCATCTATATTTTCATCTCAGAATTCTGTAATTGATACATGAATATTCAGTTTTTTAACCTGTCTAGAAGTATTCTCAACAGTAACTTTTGAAAAGTTTGATTTTAGGAAGATGGTTGAAAAAATACCTTTGTGAGAGACAGTGGAATGGGAGTCATATCTGAAGATTATTAAAAGCAGGATTTGACTGATGATTAAGCTAACTTTGTTCTATGGTAGTTTTCCTTCTATCTACATTATCTGTTATTCCAGAAGGCTCCTTTTTATAGGTAATTGCAGGAATTACAATTTGTTGTTTTAACAACACTGCTTCATGGTGAATGTGGAAAGTCAAGATTATATTCTTTTTGTTGGTTGGCAGTTGGTTAATGTTATCAGTTAGTAAGTTTTCTGCTACTATGTTCTCTTGCTTATGCCTGCATGGTATCATGGGCATAACGTCAAGATAGCATTTTAAATCCACCATTTCTGGAAAAGAGAGAGCAGCCAGACAGCTTTCTTCCTCTGAACTCACTGTTGCACAGTAAAATGCATACATTGTAATGTTTTATTGAATTGACTGTAGAACACGGGATATACTTTTGACCCCATGAGAAACAAGAAGGGAGTTTTGCAGTTCCCAGTGAGAATACAGCATGTACTTTTGGTTTTCAGGGAAGTTACTGAAAAAGTGATCACAGTGGTTATAATCACTCTTACTGTCTTCTGGTTTACAAATAGGCTATGGTTTACATGTGACCTCAGAATTTTCTTTACATTACTTGAGACATTGTAGACAGTAATTCAGTCTTCAGTGTTGTCAGAATATGTTGATAAAAGCTAATGTGAAACAAAATATTTGGTAGAGGAATTGGTAAGTGGCAAGATAAAATATTCTGTTTTTCAGAAATAGTAAACCAGCAGTAAAGTTTTAGGCTTTGGTTTTCTTGATATTGAGAAGTTGTCAATAATGTCTATTTTTATTTATACCTATGTATGTATACATACTACATGTAAGAAATTTTGATTATTGGCGGTGTTCCTAGCATGCACAAAAAAAGGCACATATTATGTGGCCTAATCACTCTCTGTTTCTCCTGAAAAAAAAACCCCAAACAGTGAGTGCGCATAGTGATATGTACACTAAAGCC